GAGATATGGAATCAGATCATGCCATGATTGAAACACCACAGGTGCAGTTCTCAAGGACATGACCCTTCTTTGTTGTGAAGACTGGATTTGATTATAATTAGTGAAAATAATCTCAACTAGAATGTTATTGAAACCAACTTATTTCTCACACAGTTATTTGATATTTGATTGGTGAGTATAATTAATTAGACTGATCTACTTTGAGGAAGTTAGTACTAACATTGGTTGACGTGTTAGCATGATGACTGACTAACAGTTAGACGTAAAGGAAGGTGTGCAAGGGGTTGTCTCAAAACCAGCTGTGGTGTGACGTGTTAGCATGATGACTGACTAACAGTTAGACGTAAAGGAAGGTGTGCAAGGGGTTGTCTCAAAACCAGCAGTGGTGTGACAAGCTCAAGGGGTTGTCTGAAAACCAGCAGTGGTGTGACGTGCTCAAGGGGTTGTCTCAAAACCAACAGTGGTGTGACGTGCTCAAGGGCTTATTTCAGAACCAACAGTGCTGACTTTGCAAGTCAGAAGTCAGATGTGCAAGGTGTGTGTCAAAAATTCAGTTTGAACATTTATGTGGATGTTCATTGAACAATCTGAAACGTTTGACAATACATTTGAGACATTTGAGACAACCCCCTGCATGTCTTACTTCAAGCTGAAACTGTTGGTTTTGCACACACACAAACAAAATTGGCTACACCCACTCCATGCTTGAAATCCATTTAGTTCAAAATCATCATGATGAAAGACCCTATTTGTGTAAGACAGTCAGAGAATGATTATAAAATCATATTACTGACTGATTTTGAGAGTGGTAACCCTGTGCATCTGTGGAGACTGAGAGAACTACCAAGCCATAGCTGACTGTGACATGCGATGTGTTTGTTGTGTACTAAAACTGAATATACTGACATGATCTTACCTTGCTTACAGCATGGTCTTTTAACCAACAGATTACACTTTATAGCAGATCTGTTAGAAGTATAATAAAATCTTCTTCTTTTGAAATTGTTTCTTTTCAGTATAATTTTGACATTGTTACATGATACAGTGTTCTCCATCATAATCATCAGTCATTTGTTTCTGTAGAAGGGGCGGTGGGGTAGCCTAGTGGTTAAAGCGTTCACTTGTCACTCCAAAGGCCCGGGTTCATGGGTACAATGTGTGAAGCCCATTTCTGGTGTCCCCGCCATGATATTGCTGCAATATTGCTAAAAGTGGCGTAAAACTAAACTCACTCAATTTTCTGTGTGAACAAATCATTGAGCTGATATTGCAATGTAATAACATTACAAAAATTAAGTTAAGGAATTTTATAGCTGCTTGTGCATGTGCAAGATTGTGCATCTGTGTACACCGCAGAGAGTGCTTCACTGTATGGCAACGGACGTTGGATGGTTAGGAGGCTTTGTCATGTTAACCTTGCTGCTAAGTTGAGAGTCATGTTTGCCTAAACTCAAGCCCATTTACAATTTTTATCGTATGAAACGGTCACCCGTGAAGATCCAGGTTAGAATTTATCTTCAGAAACCCATGCTTGTCGTAAGAGGCGAATTACGGAATCGGGCTTGCTGACTTGGTTGTCACATGTCATCATATCTCTATTGCGTAGATCGATGCTCAAACAAGCAGGAATTGCCATAATGTTGTCAAATGTTAAGATCCGGAAATGCACAAAATGTTTGACAGAAAGCCAGATCAAGCCAGCAGCATCCTAAATTCAGAAGTGTATTATATCTCCACTGTTTTACAGTGAACCAACCTGTGAAGGTCCGGGTTACAGTATTGATCTTCAGTAACCCATGCTTGTCGTAAGAGGCGACTAATGGGATCGGGTGGTCAGGCTCGCTGACTTGGTTGACACATGTCATCGGTTCCCAATTGCGCAGATCAATGCTCATGCTGTTGATCACTGGATTGTCTGATCCTCGATTAGACTCGATTATTGGAATACAGTTGAGTCGCCGTAAAACTAAACTCACACACTCACTCACCCATATAGCTGGAATATTTCTGAGTGCGACGTAGAACTAAACTCACTTACAACAGTGAAACGGGCTGTGGGGTAGCCTAGTGGGTACAGTGTTCGCTCGTCACGCCAAAGACCCGAGTTCAATTCCCCACATGGGCACAATGTGTGAAGCCCATTTCTGGTGTCCCCCACTGTGATATTGCTGGAATATTGCTAAAAGCGGCGTAAAACTACACTCCCTCACTCACTCATGTTTATCACCATCTCAGTGTCTCTTATCACTCTCGTCGGGCAGGGTTTTCCTGGAGTATAGATGTCGTCATGTGATATGCTGGCAGTCTGTAAATAATTGAGTCAGGACCAGACAGTCCAGTGATTGACATAACGAACATCGATCTACACATATGAGATATGGTAACATGCATGAACCAAGTCAGCGAGCCTGACCACCCAATCTTGTTAATCGTTATCGTACCCAATCTTGTTAATCGCGAGCCTGACCACCCAATCCTGTTAATCGTACCTTGCGAAAAGCACAGGTTGCTGAAAATCAATTCTAACCCAGATGTTCACAGGTTTGACCATATATGTATTGAGACCAGACAATGTCATGCCATTCAGACCAAAAAGAAGCATTGGTAGTGAATGAGTTCTGGGTATTTATGAAAATGGAATGAGGTATTACTTTGGAAGATGGTGAATGAAGCAACAGAGGTCCACATGAATTAGTTACATTTCTGTGAATTATTCAGTTTGATGTCAAGCTTGGTTTTAGTCCTAGAAAATGCAAATATTTATTCTTATTTTACCATAGCCAAGGAAATATGATTTGATCTATTTTCGTTTCAGATAGGGCATGCAGCTAATGCTAATCTTTTATTTTTGTTATAAAAGTGTGAGATTGTTTTAATTGTGTGTGCAGCAATAATGGCATGTTTCACACTGCCGTTCACTGTTTACATGCTCAATGTACATCAATATATTCACCTAAACATTTACATGCAAAAAGCAAATCAACATAGCGATTCACCAAACTTCACATAAAGTACCATATTTTCTTATAGACTGTACCCATGCATAATGCACATTACATTATGTATATGATTCTGTTAGAAGGTCCATATTCCATACAAACACTTACAGCACAGGTTACATTTAGAAAGGAAATCCAGCACATGAACTTACTTACAGTTGGGTTGGTTGAGTTGTCTTACACCGCACTCACCAATATTCCAGCTATATGGCAGTGGTCTGTACATAGTCGAGTCTGCACCAGACAATCCAGTGATCAACAGCAGGAGCATCGATCTATGCAATTGGGATACGATGACATGTGTCAACCAAGTCAGTGAACCGGACCACCCAATCCCGTTAGTCGCCAAGCATAGGTTGCTGAAGTCAATTCTCACCTGGATCTTCACGGGTCCATTCGAAAGGAAAAGCAACACGTTAACAGAGGTTAAATAAACAAATAGAGTATGTAGCACAAGAAGCACATTAATATAATTACAGGTAGAAAATACTTCAAACGCAATAAACTCAAAGGATAATAAATACAAAACAGCACAACACACAGGTTTACAAAGGTGAAGATGTACATGCCATATGTAAATGTATGAAAATCAGCTCACAGATTCACACAGATGGAACACATACAGATGGTGATGATTAATTACACCTCACAGATGAACAGCGGTTAAGACATACAGAGTGTAAAGGCATGAAACACAACAGACAGCTTAACAGCGGTTAAGACATACATAGTGTAAAGGCATGAATCACAACAGACAGCTTAACAACAGTTAAGACATGCAGAGTGTAAAGGCATGGAACACAACAGACAGCTTAACAGCGGTGAAGACATACAGAGTGTAAACTCATGAAACACAACAGATAGCTTAACAACGGTTAAGACATACAGAGCGTAAAGGCATGAAACACAACAGACAGCTTAACAACAGTTAAGACATACATAGTGTAAAGGCATGAAACACAACAGACAGTTTAACAACAGTTAAGACATACATAGTGTAAAGGCATGAAACACAACAGACAGTTTAACAACAGTTAAGACATACAGAGCGTAAAGGCATGAAACACAACAGACAGTTTAACAACAGTTAAGACATGCAGAGTGTAAAGGCATGGAACACAACAGACAGCTTAACAGCAGTTAATTCACACAGAGTGTAAAGGCATGAAACACAACAGACAGCTTAACAGCGGTTAAGACATACAGAGTGTAAAGGCATGAAACACAACAGACAGCTTAACAGCGGTTAAGACATACAGAGTGTAAAGGCATGAAACACAACAGACAGCTTACAGCGGTTAAGACATACAGAGTGTAAAGGCATGAAACACAACAGACAGCTTAACAGCGGTTAAGACATACAGAGTGTAAAGGCATGAAACACAACAGACAGCTTACAGCGGTTAAGACATACAGAGTGTAAAGGCATGAAACACAACAGACAGCTTACAGCGGTTAAGACATACAGAGTGTAAAGGCATGAAACACAACAGACAGCTTAACAGCGGTTAAGACATACAGAGTGTAAAGGCATGAAACACAACAGACAGCTTAACAGCGGTTAAGACATACAGAGTGTGAAGGCATGAAACACAACAGATAGCTTAACAACGGTTAAGACATACAGAGTGTAAAGGCATGAAACAACTCACAGATCTTCGAAGGGCATTTAGAAGTGGAATGCATAATAAGGAGCAAGCATACACTCCAAAATGTGTTATTCACAATAAAGAAGTTGACATCCATAAATCTTGCTTTTCTTACACAACTCACAGCTTAACAGAGGTAAAGACATACAGATAGTAAAGGTGTGATTCACAACTCACAGATTAACAAGTTAAGACACAGACAATTTTGGCATGAAGCACAACTCACAGATTAACAGCTGTTGTGCAGGTAATGTTGTATGCTGAAGTACTGTATACCTGCAGGTGTTAACGCCTGTGGCTGATTCCAACCCGTAGTGATTTTTGTGTAATGTTTGTTGTTGTTTTGTTCCAGGAAGCAGTTGATGCATGAGGTAGATATTTGGTTTTGATGTTTAGCTCAGCTTCGGTTCACGGCACCTGTTGTTCTCTAGACTGTTTCTGCCTGTGTTCTTGCCTAGTAGCATGATATGTTGTCAGCACAAACATGTCTGTCTTGCCGAGATCTGTTTTCAGTTTTACAACTTGATTTATTTGAAATGTTGGGTGAGCTACAGTGCCTGTGTTTATGTTGTGTGAAGATATTGTGACACTGACAGGTACATTCCAACCTTGACCATCTTTACAGGCACACAGTACCCTGTAGTAGGCTTTGCCTTGTACTTTGGGAGGCAGTGATAGACCAGCGGTTAAGTGTTCAGCATGCAAAGGGTTCAATTCCCGACATGGATATAGCTCACTCACTCGCTGACTGACTGACTGACTCACTCACCCACCTACCTACCCACTCGTCCACACACTCACTCACCCACCTACCTGCCCACTCACTCACTCATTTGCTCACTCACTCACTCTCATCCACCCACCCAATCCACGAACTCACTCACTCACCCTCACTCACTCATTCACTCACTCACTGGGATGCTTTATCCACTCACTCACTCTGGGGTGATGACACTACACAGCCTGTGTAGCCTGTGTATTGTTCATGGGTGAAGGAAGGATGTATTCTGCTTTTCAGTTTGTCAGACTTGCCAAAACCCAGGTGATGGTTACAATGCAAACTAATGTTTTAAGAAGTTTAAATTAGGGAGAGTGAAAGATGAAATTAATGTAACATATTTTATAGAATGAAAATTTGTTTCAATTTTCTTGTTTCTCGCTGAACATTGGTCAGCTGATCTAGGTAGGGAATAAAATAAAATTTATATCAGGGCATCGTGGAAAAGCACCGCTAGATTCGAAGCACTCATATATATATATATATATTTGGGAATGTTCATAATTTATGACGGGGGGTCGGGAATGATGATTTTAAGGGGGGTGGGGGTCTCCCATATTATTCTAGGGAGGTAGGGGGTGTCATCAATTTTGTACACATGTACTTGGTGGTGGTGGTGGGTACTTGGGGGTAGGGGTGGAGTGTGTGTGGGTCATCAATTTTGTACATTAAAATGTTAAAAAATTATGCTTAGAAAGTATGGGGATGGGGTGTGGGGTCATTGATTTTGTCCATGACATGCAGGGGGGGTCACTTACTTGGTACATAATCTTTAGGGGAGGTCATTCACACTGTACATGCTTCTCCATAACAATCATCATCATCAAATCTTATCTCACTCACTCATTCACTCACTAACTCATCAGAGAGTTCACCTCATGTGACCTTCTATGCAAGTGTTTTCAGATTTGCATGCACTAAGGTAATGTCCCAGAGGAATCAATTTGCAATGAGATTGGTTTGATTCCAATTTTCATCCAAACCAGGATTCTTTCTCACCACCATACCCATTCTCATGGGTTGTGAAGTCCTATGTGTCTAAGACCTACTTCTCTTCAGGCTTTTCTTCCTGAAAAGACATGCTGTGACATTACTGATATAAACGGCCAAACTGCTTTATGGTGGGTGGTAAGAAGCAGTTTTTCTGCATGTTCAGCCTCCATTTCATCATTTTTCACAAGGGTGGCGGGTTAAAACGCCTGCTTGTCACATTGAAGAGCCAGTTCGATTCCCCACATGGGTACAATGTGTGAAGCCCATTTGCTGTGATATTGCTGAAATATTGCTAAAAGTGGCGTAAACTAAACTCACTCACTCACTCCTGATTGTGTACGGTTTGTCAGCACCTTGCCCATTCTCCTTGGTTGTGTCGGGGTTGAATACAGGTGTTACACTTTCCTTTCATCATCTGTCATTAAAGAATGTTTCATGGCACTCCTCATTGCACTCTTCTAGACACTCTTGCTGGCACACGCCTGGTCTTGATGAATGTTGGGTTGTGGTGTAGACAAATTGGTTGAGGATGAAATATATATATATCATATAAATAACAATGCATATGAATTCATGGTCCAAGTGATATGCTCACAAAAGACAAAATTCTGAGGATGATATTTAATGCATTGAATATATATATTTATTTAATGCATTAAAAAAAATTTTTAATGCATTGAATAGTTTTTCAAAAGTTTGGCCAACAACATGTTGGCCAATGATTTGTTCTATATCTCTGTAAATGTTTGGAAACTGATTCAAATTTGCTTGGCTATGTTTTACGACTCAACTTCTTCTCATTTGAAATGAAGTTAATACTTATATGCATTCATTATTTTGTTTTAAAGATGAGAATGTTTATCATGTGCTTCCTACATTTGTACAGTGTATCTACTTTTGCATGAAATGTTACATGCTTGATCTCACAAATGATGACATGTTAGTATTCTGTAGGATTTCCGGAATGATTCTGAATGTAACCAAGGAAACCTGAAGAATCTATTAATGGCTGTACAGGACCTTTTGGCTCAAAGTGAAAGGAAATTTGACCATGTTAGTTGGTAGTGGGCTGATATGTAGCTGATATTTCAGTGATGTTGTTTATATTGACTTTAATTTGACCTCTTCAATTTGATCATCAAACTGCTTATGGCAATTACAGAGATATTTCTGTTAAAAATGAAATTTGGTATATGCATAGTTAGAAATGGCACTGGACACATGTTGAAATGTGATTTTTTTGGGTGTTGACAGCCAAGTTAAAACAAAAAAGATTAAGGTCATATGTTTGTTATTTTTGTTTGACTATTTTTTTTCGACATTATAGTATGAATATGTTTGACCTTGTTTTTAACCATGGACTTATTCCAGAGGTACCTTCACTCTGTGATTTGACAGACGGAGAACACCAAACTTGGCATGTTCATTTCTTCTTAGGACGTATTTTCATGATTTTAAAAGTGTTTTTGTTGACATTAAAGACTGATGACTGCAGATCCAGGTGAGCTACAGCGAGCTACAGTGTTAAAAACATAACATGTGACAATACATTCATTGTTTCTTTGTAAAGTGTTTCAGTGAATTGGAATTACAACCTGCAGTTCAACTTGTACAATGCTGCCTTTCTGTTTCCAGGAACCAGAAACCTATGATCTAGGACTCGGTCACAATAGCCAGCCAATGAACTTAAGAGTTAACCTGCCTGGTCCAACTGGTGACAAGGTCTGAGAAGGGGGAGATTACTCTCACTATGGGAGATAACTCTTGTCTGTTGAGATTCCAATACTGCCCATATCTTTCAGCAAACAGGAATTCCATGACTGAGTCTTCGGAATGGAGTTTTCTTTGCCCGAATGCACAGTGCTGTGAAAGGTTATCTGTTGTAGTGGCGTGAATCTGTCTATATTCCTGTTTTGTGTGTAGCTTGTGTTTAATGTGACGTGCCTGCACACAGCAGTGTTCATACTGAGTAGATTCTCACAGTTCAGAAGAAGCTTGATGATGTATATGTTTCCCACTGACAATGTACAGTAGGATTTTGTGGTTGCTCTTGTCATGTAAATGATTATGTATTTTAGATCGTAAGTCGTAGGTAGCTTCTAAGTACGAAAACTGTTGATGATTTCACGGTAGCCATGTAGTCCCAGAAACATACCGCATGTGGGATTACCTGATTTAACTTTGGTTTAGCTGAATAATCGCACAAGATTTGACAAGTATATGACGACACAGATTTGAACTCGCCTGGATCTGTGGGGCATCTTAAAGATAAGGTGGGAAGGGGAGTTTATTATTTAAGCCTGTCTATGTTCATTAATTAGAAACTCTATGAAATAGGACTGCTTTAAGTGAATGTTTGAATTTAACCCTGTTTTTCTAATGAGAACTCCCTGGGGTAGCCCAGTTCTTAAAGCATTCACTTGTCATGCCAAAGGCCGGCGGGTTTGATTCCCCACATTGGTACATTGTGTGAAGCCCATTTCTGGTGTCCCCTGCTGTGATATTGCTGGAATATTGCTAAAAGTGGCATAAAACCCACTGACTCATAACCTAGGGGCAATCTTTCGGCACATGTCATGAGACAGTCAAGGTCAAGGTACCGGAATTGAAAACAAGACTTGAAGACTTGAACCTATGGGATGAAGGTACTGATGGGGATTGATTCGGTTTTCTTACCAGCACATCTAGTTATTCCTGGAATAATATTAATTTAGTTTCGACACTGATTGACTGAAATTTTGTCTGAAATTATTTTTTCATACGTCAGCTTTATTTCATACCACAGCCTTCACCAAAGCACAAAAATCTCCACACCTGTTTTATCTGATATTCTGTTTTAAGCATAATTAGGATTGTTTTGTTAGACTTTTCTGTGTGTGTTTTATGTTCTTTCTAACCAGCTGACTTTACATTGGTGCAGTTCCTGTTTTGTTCTTGTTTTGTTGAGGATTTGATTGTTTTGTTGAGCTAATTTTGTCAAAGGGTTCCTTATTTCTCTTAGTCTTTTTCAGTTGTGTATGATGTTTGGAGACATGCTGCTGTAGATAAAATGATTAATAAAGCATGTGTGAGAGACCTGTTTTTAAAGCAAGGAAATCCCATGGTTGTAGTGTTCACATAAACCTACAGGAATGATTTCAATTCCCCACATGGGCACTATGTGTGAAACGCATTTTTGGTGTCCCCAGGTGTGATACTGCTGGAATGTTGCTGAAAATGACATGGAACCAAACTCAGCCATATTTTGGCTTTTAAGAACTAAGAAATTGTCCTTTATGTTTTCTAAAAGTGTTGGGTTTTTTCACAAGAAGACTGCATCTCACTGAACTAGCTGGAACCCTTTGGCAAATATCAGTTGTAGATTTGATAACTTCTCCTTGTGCAATCTCACATCTTTTCTTTGTTGAGTTTTTCAAAATATATACATACAATGGAAGTGAGTGTAAGGAAGCTGAATGAACAACTCAGTTGTCAATGTCATGTTGTCCTTTGTGTTCACTGTTACATGGTTTTGAACACGGTTAGTCAATCTTGTCAGACTGAACTACACATGTTCCATAGATGACTGGAATGTCTCGGACGAGTAGAGTCTCTGCCACGGTCACTTGTCATTGGGACCAGCAGTCGCAGCGCCTCATGAATGACCACTCTCAAACAATATTCAATAAATGGAGAATTAGTTGTCTGTTTCAACTTGTCCCAATTATTGTGATATATAGAAAAATTTACTGTGGATACATGTCTGATTTGTTGTTGTTTGCTTTGGGCAGTGGGGTAGCCTAGTGGTTAATGTGGTTGCAAGTCTCGTCGAAGACCTGTGTTCAATTCCCCACATGGGTACATTTTGTGAAGCCCCTTTCTAGTGTCCCTCGTTGTGATATTGCTGGAATATTGCTAAAAGCTGAGTAAAACTGAACTCACTCACTCACTGTTGTTTGCTGTCATGCAGCTACGGCATTGACAGTGTCAACTTCAGCTGCTATTGTTGTAGTCCATGTGTGAAAGGTACTTGCATTGTTTGGTCATGTTTGGGTGAGCATTTATAGAATGCAGCTTTATGATTTTGAAGAAGTTATTTCCGAAATACAATGATGTATATTATCCTGTGAAACAGCAGTCCCATTGCAGAGAAACTGTTCATGTATAAATAAAGCTCTGTTTTTTTGTATTGTGAGTGAAACACAAGTTTTTGTGATTGTTGTCTAGTTTAAAAAACTTGGTACTGTGTACAAATGAGTGTAGTGGGAGAGTGTTCTCCTTGAAGAATAGGTAGAGAGTTCTTCCCCTTTGAAGTACAGCTTTGAGAGTGTTCTCCCCTTGAATGAAGTTTTGCTGTCTCTCATATATGTATAAAAGCAGATCTAAGAGGTGAATTTGCACCATTGTTTTTATTTTTATTTTGTACATATTGAATCTTTAACAGTTGGTTTCAGTTGTTTTCTGAACGGCCTGTCATTAGTTAGGTAGGTACTAACACGCACATGTTTTTTCAAATTTCTTAATTTCGCATGCAGTTTACCATGCATTACCTGTCCAAATCAAAATTAGGATATATGTGATCTATTTCTGTACATGTTATTAAGAAAGGTCTTCAAGCTGTTGCCTTTTTTACTTTTTCACAATATATATAGCAACTGGCTTTGATTAGGTGTAAGTGTTTGCACTTTTTTATTGTTCATCCTTAAATATCTTGGAAAAAACCCGGGACCCATTTTCAAAAAAAGGTTTCATTTCAGAAGTAACATCGCCATCACTATGACCAAATCTCTTTGTGGTACCCTCAATCATGTGATTAGAAACCTAGAACAGCACTCTGAGCATGCTGTAGTGCATGGATATGTGCGCTATATAAATATCCAATAATAAGAATAATAATAACAACAGACATCACATTATTCAAATCACGCATCAAAGCATGCTATAGTCAGAGATGCCAACCCATACGATTTTATCGCATTTCATTGCGAAAAATAACTCAAAATATGCAACTACGATAGTAAAAGTAAAAACATGCAAATTCATAAAAAAATACATTAAATTGAGTCATCATATAGCATATGTACCTACATCATATAGCATATGTACCTACATCATATAGCATATGTACCATACACAATAAATTTCAACTACATTTTATTCAGTATCATGCTATATGTGGAAACTTCCTACTGATTTAGGTGGGTACAATGTTAATAACAAGTTCTTATATTTATATTTATATATTTTTATTGAATAGGAAAATTATTTGTTCATACTAATCTTTGCAAGAAAATTCTCATTTTTGCATCAGTTTTTGGCCAAAATAATAATTGGGCTAAATTAGGGTTGGCATCTCTGTATGGTATTCAATGGGTTCAGGGAATTTTTCACGAGGCAAAGATTAAATTGGTGACTGGATTATCAAGGAACAATCAAGATCTAATTTGGAAAGGGTTTTGTCGCTTCTGTTTATTTCATCTTCATCCATGAAAAAGGAAGTCTGCTAAATAGCCTAATATATCATTGTTTCCGATACATGAAGATTCTTCTGTTATTTCCTTCTAACTGTTGGGTTTGTTTGAGGTTTTCATACTTTAACTTTATATATTTTGAAGTTTGTTACGGTTTCTTAAAAGTCACTCAGACAGTATAGCAGTGTTTCAAGTGGTTCCTTTGATGGATTTGTAGAATGTATGGGATTTTGTCAGGTAAATGTTTATTGTATCTCATACAACTTGAAGACATTCATCGATGGAGGTATTTTGTAAGTTATTTACAAGTATTTTGAGTCATATATCTGTCTTACAGTTTAAAACCGCAAAAGTTATTTATGAATTAATTGTGTATGCTTGTACTCCTTTCTAATTCTAACATCAGGTAATTAAGACTAATTATTTTACTAGTTTGCACCTTATATAATCTATATGTTTATTATGCAAATATTAATGCTGTGTGACGTGTATCAGTTGACAGATGGAAAATTTGATTTTGTTTTCATTAGGTAATATATTTACACTCTGTTTTAATTTTATTAAAATGTTGAAATGTTTGCAATGTGGGTAGTGTTTGTATTGTATTGGATTGTGTGTGTTATTAGTTTGATATTAGGTCCTGTAATTTAGCACTTGTAACGGGAATGTTTTCATGCTGTTTAACATCTGTGAATATTGTGACTAAAATCACTCCCTGGTGGCACTGGAAACTGTTAAAGGTAGTTGTTACCTGTTGATTGTCTGTCAGTATGTAACTGCAGGCTGTACTATTCCTTTTCTTTTGGGGCACTGAGGTAGCCTGGTGGTTAAAGCATTTGCTTGTCACAGCGAAGACCCGGGTTCGAATCCCCACATGGGTATAATGTGTGATTACTAAGCCCATTTCTGGTGTCCCTGCCGTGATATTGCTGGAATATTGCTGAAAGGGGCCTAAAAGTAAACTCACTCACACTCAACTAGTCTGAGATTACTGTGATAATGTCTTCAGATGGTATGGAGACCACCCCCATCCTGAAACAGAATTCTTCAGAACACTCTCATGTTACTGGCATCCTAAAATAAGTTGTAAAGAAACAGCTTGGATATATTTTTGCTGTTTTTGTTGGCCAATATTTGTGTCTTGGTTCAACACTGAGGCTTTGTTGTACATGGGGAATAAGTTAAAATGAGGATCAGATGGTTAAGATTGTTGATAGTGGAAGAATTCTTCCCGGATAGTGATGGGCAGACTTGATGGTATGAATGATACAGTGTACAAAGAGGTGGTTGAAGGGGGAGTGTGCTCATAACATCAACCACATGTTTGTTCAGATCGTTACCAATTGTTGTCAGGTTTGTTCATAATGAACTGATTGTAAAACATACTTGAATATTATTGATGGGCGTGAAATGGTATACCATGGTATTAGTAGAACTGGGGAATTTTGCCTTTGGTTCGATATATGATTGCAATAAAATAACTTCATTTTTGCGGTTTTCATACCATTGTTTTATTAACCTTTTTAAACCTTTTCTAAAATATCTAGAAATCGAATCATTTTGGTGTGACTTGTCAATTTTCTGCATTATTATTATATCTCATATACCAAAGCGTAACAAACTGAACCAAAGGTCTTGTACTGCAATAGGTACCATGGTAAGAGGGTACCGTTTCACTCCTAATTATTGACAGTATGATTTTATTGGTGCACAGCTTTGAGTAGAATTCGTAAAATTACTAGATATTAGTCACTTTGTTGTATTATGGGTGGTACTTGATTAAATGTCCTGTTATTAAGTCTTATAGTTTATGTGAAAAGTGTTGGGTTTTTGCACAGAATATATTCATTATAGATGCATTATGTTTAAAGAACAGAGGTGTCATATGTCAAATCAGCTATTATGTCTGGAAATACTTAATTCTAAAGAGGTCATAACTAGTAGCATTGTCGAGGCGTTAAACATTTACAGCTGTATGTTCTGTGTAAATATGTATTTCAGCTTCAACGAATAATTGATGGTATGACGACAAATGTCACACTGTAATACAAAATATATAATGGTGATTATTTTGTTTGTTTAAAACTTTAATATGGGTGCTGTAATGAAGTTATATATAGTCGAATCATTTCATTAAGAAATCAAAATACTAACTAACACTGAGATACGATGAATTTTCCACACTGTGTCTCATGTGATTCAGGTGGCGGTGGGGTAGCCTTGTGGTTAAAGCATTTGCTCGTCACGCGGAATGCCAGGGTTTGATTCCCCACATGGGTACAATGTGTGAAACCCTTTTCTGGTGTCCCCCACCTTGATATTGCAGGAATGTTGCTTAAAAACGGCATAAAACCATACTCACTCACTCACTCATGTGATTCATTGTTGTTTTAGGAGTTGCCTCCATTGGGCATGCCAGAATCCAATGAAGGTTTGTTGGCACCATACATGTGGTTGAGGGTTACCAAATTGGTAAATGTCTCAGACCGGCACCTGTTTGTGGTAAATGTCTCAGACCGGCACCTGTTTGTGGTAAATGTCTCAGACCGGCACCTGTTTGTGGTAAATGTCTCAGACCGGCACCTGTTTGTGTTTTCCTCCCACATCAAGCTGACATAACAATTGAAATAATGCTGAAAGTTGATTTTAACTTCATTTCACTCACTCATTCTCTTTAAAGTTCAAGATGAGAAACAGGATGGAGCACTTTTGAAACTGAGGAATTATGGTAAATATATTGAGAATACAAGGAAAAATGGCTTAAAGCGCACTAATAACTTGTGGGAATGTTCAGAGGAAAATGGAAAATTCACGAACAGTAAGTACAAGATAAAAACAGGCTAGGCTGTAACAACTGATAAGTTCCCCACGTCTATTGAATCCCAAGATTTAACCATGAGGATTTTCTGTTTTTTAATTAATTCTCAAAACAATGATTGCACTCATTTACAGATGCGCAGATTTGACCACCGAGTTTATTATTCTCCAGCACTAAAATTGTAAAACGATCAAAACTAGCAGTAAATATACGAAAATATATATTTTCAAAAGTTTCCTTAAACCCACCAATGCTGTATAATATACTGTTAAAGTAAATCCTGTGATGGGCAATCTTTGCAGCCTTCTCTTCAGTCAAAATATTATTATATTAACCTGTGTCAGTGTCTCATCTTTAACATTCCATCATTAAAACATTCATATGAAGGTGTTACTAACTACATTCTTCTTCGTAAATTGCACCTTCCCACCCTACCCCTAATCTATAAGACCCTGTTGAGAAACATTTTTTCTAATTACATTTTTAACTGATTCCGACATTTTGAACATGCCATGCCATTCACTATGTGTGAGATACCAAGGAAATATATAGTCTGGACA